AGTCCTCCAGTCCTTGACCTTTCCAGACTTGAACAATTTTACCCCTTATGTTTATATTCCTTGTAAAACAATACAAAATAACCAACAAACAATACAAAAGTTAAGATTGACAATTTAATAGGATATCATATTTTAACAATATAACAAACTTCAAGCGAATACTTGTTTTCCTAAAAAAAACTTGTTGGTCTTCAATATATTCACGAATTTGTAAAATCAAAGCTCCAACATGAGCATCGATAGCGGATTTCCTTAGCTAAGTTTTGTGGATTCTCAATGGGTTGTTAGTAATATCACCAACATGGGTTTCAATTATTACAGTATACTTGCATGATAACTAGTTGATAATAGCTGGATGGATTTCAAAACTTCTGCCAACATGCATATCTTGAAAATGAGCAACTTTAAAAAAAAAATCATCTCAATCTGAATTATGAATGAAAAGTTATAACATCACGATGGGATGGTACTCAACAGAATGAAACAAAATCCATGACTGAAGTTATAGATACGAATGTTGATGTATGTAAGAAGAAAACTAGTAGATAAAAAAGCCTTTAGTAATATATAGGTATGCATTTAGGGGGTGTTTGGGATTGATTATTTAAAACAACTTATATTTTTTTTTATATAAAATTGTTTATCAACTTATACGGTGGCAAAGTGGAGTTTTATAAAAAAAAGTGTTTGGATTAGCTTATGATGGTACCACACTGGATAAGCTGATAAAATAGATAGAGATACCCTTTTCTTTTATCATCCAAACACTAAAACTTCTTATTGTCGGTACCACACTGAAATAAGTTAATAAGTTAAAAGAAGTAACTCATTAAAAACTTCTTATTACTGGTACCACACCGAAATAAGTCAATAAGCACTTTAAATAAGCAATCCCCAACACGCCCTTAACCTATATTTTGTTTTAATTCATTCAAATTTTCATTTTGTCAAAGAAACTAGCAAACCTCATAAATTATTTGATTGTGATATGGTTGATGTAGTTATGAATATTAAACTTCATAGTTTGACTTTCTCAATTTTTGTTTAATCTAAAACTTGTTTCTATTAAAAAAAATAGACAATATTATTTTTAAAATAATCTTAAAAAATCAAAATTGATCAGGATGTAACTGAATTTTCATATTTAATTAAAGATCGTTCCTTAGTATGTTAAACGTGAGATTTTGAACATAGCCTCCGAAATTTTGGGGTCCAAATTTACATGTGTTTAGAGTCTTTTTATCGACCTGTGTAAAACTATAGCCAAAATTATTTAGGCTAAAACCATTAATTGTTTGGTTTTATGTTCAAATCATTAATGGTTTAGGTTTAGTTTCATATTATTAATCGTTTTAGGTTTAGCCCATTTATGCAATGTAATCAAAAGTTTCGGATGTAGCATGGCCTTTAAAAAGATTGGAACGTCCTGATTTAATTTATTTTCATACTTAAACATTATTGAGTATATTTGAACTGTTTAATTATAAATAGACCATCAATCACTGAATGCATGAAAAAAAATGTGCTCTAATTTCCTTGATATGCTACCTTATAAGATATTTGTTTTTATTAAAGAGTAACATAAATATCTAATTTTTTAAACCTACTTTGTTTCAGAAAATATTATGGAACGTAATTCTCAAATAGTTATCTTGTACTGGTTAGCATCAAGAACAATAAAATCTGTTAAGGCCATAAAAAACCAGCTGCATCTACATGCCTTTCTCGTTTAAAGGTCGTTCAAAAAGATAGAAACAAAACTCTTATCGTTTAACAGACAAACCACTTTTTCGTTTATGTTTTGGCTTGAAAGGGTATTCGTGGGTCCATTCTTACGCTACATATCAAGGCTCGAGTTGATTCAACGATAAACTCTTTCGATTTTTCCTTTTACGGTTAACCATACGAACAAAATCGGTTAACCCATAAGTTTATAATAGATCAACCAACCCACAAATTAAAAAAAATTCCAACCATAAGGGTGGTGTCTGATTGGTTTGAGCTTGGGTCCAAAGGTCAAAAGTACCTGAAGGTCCCAGGTTCAAATCCAAGGAGGAATAAAAATCCCTTTGTGGCCACAGAGGTTCAAATGCGATAACTTCTGACCATCTGCAAAGCAGGTGATCGTCCTGAAATTAGTCAGCTCTCATAGCAAGTTGGATATCCATGTTAATAAAAAAAATCCCCGAAATAAACATTATAAAAGGTTGAAAATTTCTCTTAAAAGAATAAATATTAAATTTATTTTGAAAAATTAAAAAAAAAAGTCAACTTGCTTAATGGTTGACCAAGTGATGGGCCAAAAAGCAAAACTTGACATTAATTATATGGTAATGGAAGACTACTTCAAACACGATCTCCATAACCTACATATTATTGTATCCACACGATTTATAAAAAAATATATATGTAAATGATGGATTATTAATTTTATTATCCAAAAAATATAATTAATTTACGAGAAAATCATATATTCAGCGTAGCATTGCGACAAATGACGTGACAAACACGTAAAAATATCTGACGTCGATATTACATTTTGATACTGACGTATTTTCATATAAATAAATATCAACAAAGTTTTGCTTTTAACCATAAGGGTGGCTGATTGGTTTGAGCTTGGCTCCAAAGGTCAAAAGTAACAGGAGGTCTCGGGTTCAAATCCAAGGAGAAATAAAAATCCTCTTGTGGATACGGAGGTCCAAATACGGTGACTCCGGACTATCTGCAAAGCAGGTGGTTGTCTTGGGATTAGTCGGCTCGCAAAGCGGGTTGGATATCCAGATTAATAAAAGAACATATCTTAGACTTGTTCCGATGAGCCAATGGGAGGAGGTTTTTGGTGGCATGGTGACTGTGCCCACTTCCCATGGCGGCCGCCGGCGGTCACCTTGGTTTACATTAAACAAGTCAACGAACCCACTTCACACCTTATTATAAATACACACCACCACCACCACTTCATTCTCTTGCAACAAGAATGGCTTCAAAATCTCATCAATTCAATTCCAACCCTCTCATCTTCCTCCTCCTCGGCCTATCGGCCATCGGAGTTTCTGCCGCCGGAAACGGTGGCATCGCCATCTACTGGGGCCAAAACGGCAACGAGGGAACTCTTGCCGAAGCTTGTGCCACCGGAAAATTCCCCTATGTTAACATAGCATTCCTTAACGTATTCGGCAGCGGCGCCACCCCTCAAATGAACCTCGCCGGCCATTGCAATCCCGCTAGCGGCAGTTGCGTCTCGTTGTCCACTGACATCCGTAGTTGTCAAAACCGTGGCGTTAAACTCATGTTGTCCATCGGTGGTGGCATCGGTACCTATTCACTGTCTTCTAAACTAGACGCCAGAAATGTTTCCTTGTACTTATGGAACGCTTTCCTAGGAGGTAAATCGGCATCGGTGTTCCGACCACTTGGCGATGCCGCATTAAACGGCATTGATCTAGATATCGAACTAGGATCATCGCAGTTTTACGATGATCTAGTTCGATATCTAAAATCATACTGTGGGAGGGGTCAAAAAGTGTATATAACAGGGGCCCCACAATGCCCATTTCCAGATAGGCAGATGGGGTCTGCTTTAAATACTGGGATTTTTGATTACGTGTGGGTTCAGTTCTATAATAATCCTCCATGCCAGTATACTTCTGGTAACACCACAAATTTGATAAGATCGTGGAACCAATGGACAACGTCGATAAGGGCAAAAAAGATATTTATGGGGTTGCCGGCGGCAACACAGGCAGCTGGAAGTGGGTTTATTCCGGCGGAGGTGCTGACGTCTGAGATTCTTCCGGTGATTAAAAGTTCACCAAAGTATGGAGGTATAATGTTGTGGTCAAAATTCTGGGATGACCAAAGTGGGTATAGCTCATCAATTGTATCAGGGGTATAATTGGAATAATACTACTTTTATGTACTTTGTTGAATTATACTTTTTAAACATAAATTGGTAAAATTACACAAAAGGCTAAACTATAACTTTTTCTTTCTTTCTTTTTTACTTTAAATTAAACTATTTTAACCAAATAATCAATAACATCACATAATTTTAATGAAATTAAAAAATATTATATACTTATATATATATATATATAATTATAAATAAATTTATAAACATATATATAATATCTATACACATTTTTTTTCATTAACCTGAATATTCAACCCTTTATGCAAGCCGACTAATCTCAGGAAGTCCACCTGCTTTGCAGGTGGCCAGAGTCACGACATTTGAACCTTAATGGCTATAAGAAGATTTTTATTTCTTCTTAGATTTAAACCTGGGACCTCCAGATACTTTTGATCTTTGAAACCCAACTCAAACCAATCAGATACCACCATTGTGGTTTATGTACATTTTTATATATGTAATCAGAAAAGAGTAAAAAATATGTTATTATTTGACATAGTGATGGCCAAAAACCGGTCCCAGATCGGGCCGGACCTAATCGGTCTCAATCTTTCTCATAATCGGCCGTAACCGATCCCGGCGTAACCGGTTTTGGTCGAAAATGGTAGGACCGGTCAAGGTATTTCATAACCGGTTATGAGCCGCCGCTCCTGTTCCCGGTCCCAACCGGTCCCTTTGATTTTTTTAATGATATATATTTTTAATACATTATAGAATTTACAATTGGATCACTCAAATACATTTTAAAAATGCGTTTTAATATAATAAAAATTACATTGTTTTATAAAAATACATTATAAAATTATTTAAAAACAACACATTTATTTATCAAATTATTTGAATTTTCGGGTCGGGCCGGTCCATAACCGATCCTGGTCCCACGAAACTACCAAAAACCCTAACCGGTCCCTTGCCGGTTCCGGTCCCGGTCCTCTTACGGTCCTGGGCCGGGCCAGACCGATTTGGCCATCATTATTTGACAGTTTATCGTTCTATGAGGTTTTAGTTAAGATCCAAGTCTCTAACTAAGTAAAGGTTTATTGGGCCAAAAGAAATACGTTTCACTTTTGTAAATGGGCCGAGCAAATAAAGCCTATAATTGGCCTATTCAAAGCTATAACCCGTCTTCCTTGAATTAATGAATTCCAACTCTAAAAGTTGTGGTTGATTGTGCCTTTTTTATCTTTATTTTTCCTCAATTAAATACTAAAAAGACATGCACTTGCTTTGCATTCTATATAGTTTGAAGTTGAAGTAAAACCATCTTCATTTATCATATATGATGATATATATATAAGGGGATTTGGTGCGTCAAATGTTGTCTTAAGTCTTTAATTTAGTATACATGTGATGGGTTATAGTATTACATTAAGGAACGATTATTACATGTTATACTACAGCTGAGGGGGGCCTAGTGGTGTGCGGATGACTTGGCCTGCAACCTAAGTCATGTCAAAGGTGGTCCACGCCTCTGATTTAGTATCGTATGTGATGAAATATGGTATCACATATGATTAACTATAGTAAAAGAATGTTCTCTCGTTTTCTTAAAATGAATGTGTTCTCGTTTGAACATTCCTTTTATGTTATATATATATATATATATATATATATATATATATATATATATAGAGAGAGAGAGAGAGAGAGAGAGAGAAGAGGCATCAAATACAAACCATGCAATTGTTACAAATCATTCAAACCAATCATGTGATAACCGGTTATAAAGTTCAGGATTCTTTTTGATCAAAGGCAAAACTTGAGGGGTTTAATTTGTTTATGTGATTAAAATGTTTTTAAAGCACTTCCAAAGCCTCATATTTTAAATTGTTAGTTATAAGATATATGAGTTTTATCTCATTTGGATTGTGGGTGAAAAAGGTAAAAAGAAAAGTGAGCTTCCTATGTGTGTAATTATGAGTTCGAAGAAAAAACAGAACCGAAAAAAAAGAAGCAAGTAGAAACAGTTTCTGTGATTCTTGTCTTGAATTAATTGTTGTTGTTCATATTTATACCTTTTTCTCCTGGATCGATAAGGTGAGTTATTTTACAAAATTTTCTTCTATGGTATTGGAATTAGAACTGTATGATTTTTTATATGAGGACATTATAAAACCGTTTTGATGCTATAATTAGCATGAATTGGTATTCTGATATAATTTTATCAAGTGTTTGGAATAAGATGACATATCAAGAAGGAGTATATTTTAGTTATAAAGTGACATATTAGGGAAATATGTATTTTGGGATAAAAGTGACATATCAAGGAGATGTGTATACTAGAATAAGGGTGACATAATCAAATAGAATATAAATTTTGGGTTTTGATCAAAGTGTTATATGTTCGTCGCACCGTTGAGATGCGATGACCTGAAGTTGTCGCACATATGTGATGCGATGACTTGAGTTTCTCGCATCCTCGTGATGCGATGAAGTGTGTTTATCGCATCATTGTGATGCGAGGAGTGCATTTATCACATTCTATTGATGCGACAAGTTGGTTTGTCGCACCCATGTGATGTGATGAGATGTGGTCATCGTACCAGTGTGATGCAAGGAGATGGAGTTGTCTCATCCATATAATGCGAGAAAAATATGTATTCATCTATATTTATGCGATGAGTTTTACCCGAATGTGATAAATGAGTTGTTTGGTTATTTGATGCGATAAATTGGTGATGTCTCATCTTTTATATGCGACAAAAGAGGTTTGTTGATTTAAATGTTGTTTATTTGTTATTTATACAAATATGAGTTTATAAATATCATTTTGTGATTATTCACCCTATAATAGCAACAAATGGATTTCTCACTAGATTTTAAGATGTAACCCTCATTTTGGTATTTTGAAAATGTGCATTACAGGTCGAGCACAGCCAAATGATAAGGGGAAGGGAAAGTTTTGAGGAATTTATACATTCTTGCATGAGATGTTAGGATAACATGCTATTTTCTGTATTTGAATACTTGTTATGTAAACAAGTTTTGTATATAGATTTTTTGGGGAAAAATTAGTAGCTATTTAGAAATATAGTTTTTGTGGATATTGGGGCCAGATGTATAAATTATATTTCTTGATATATAGAAATATATGTTTATATACAAATATGATCTTGGGGGGTTACAAATCAACTGAGATATTAATGGAAAAGATAAGGGTTCATTTACTATAATGGAGTTATTTATAAAAGATGATTAGAGTTCATTAATTATGAGCAACGCTTTATATTAAGAAATAATCTAGATATTTATTAAACCACATAGTCATTAGATTAGATGGATGATTGAGATTAGTTTATATGGTTTGTAATAATGTGTTGGTTTGTATTGCAAACCACCTCTCTCTCTCTCTCTCTCTCTCTCTCTCTATATATATATATATATATATAGAGAGAGAGAGAGAGAGAGAGGTTTGTTATTATACAACCATTGACATTTGTGCAACCAATACAACTCAATCTCAACCGTCCATTTCATTTGATTAATATGTGATTTCATAGAAGTTTTGATTGTTTCATAATATAAAGTATTGATCATAATTAATGAACTATATTCATCTTTCATAAATATTCAAATCATAATAAATGAACTTTCATCGTTTCCATAAATATCTCAATTTATTTGGTTGCATTGGTTGTACAAATGCGATGAGTTGTATTTGAAACAAACTATATATATATATATATATATTATGAAATGTTGTAATTGACTAGTTCTTAAATATATATTTTTTGGTTATTTTATATTTTTTTATCTAGCTTATCAACTTGTTTTTGTCAACGTTATTTATTCATCATCTAATTTATTAGCTAACAGCTAGCTTATCAGTCAACAACTATTTAGCCAGCTACTATGTCAAATATAGCGTTATATGCGTTTTTAATTAATGACAAATTGCTTAAAAAACATTAGTAGAATATTACTTACTACGTACCGAAATAAATATTCACAATGAAAATGACACACAGTTTTAGAAATGTGTCATAATTACACATTTTTAAATAATCAAATGCAATATTTATCTTTCATAATACCAAAAAAAATTTCTCCATCTCACTATTAAAGATGAAAATGAAAATTTTGAAAAATGAAAATTTATTATATAATTAAAACAATAACGTGGATAAAATGAATTGGGGAAAAATATATAATAAGTAGATTAAGGCTATGTTAAGCGAGCCAACGATTGATAAGATAGTTGATGGCTTATAAGCTAGCTAGTAGCTGATAAACTAACTGATAAACAAATAATGTTTGACAAAACTAGTTGATAAAAATGTAAAATATGTTTTCTTGAAAAGTTAATCAATTATGATTTTTAAAAATATAATTGAAATAAATCTCTAATACTATAATATATTAATTAATA